AATGATAACAACTGATGTTTTAATACCATCATGCTTCGTAAATTTGTGAAACTGGTTCCATAAGGATTTGAATTTACACAAGATAAGAGTTGAGTAACAGTAAAATTTTATATGATTTTGTGTAGTAAAGTGTTAATAATGTATGCTGACTATACAAATATTATTTTTCATAGATGAAATACAGTTTCCATTTTTCATATGTTACCAAATATCATAATATTTAGTTTGAGCCAAATTATTTTTTTAAGTCTTAACCCCCTGGCTGCCGAGATTTTTTTCAGGCGCACATTTTCATACAGTTTGAAAAGTGAACGTTGTGCGAGAATTGCTCTCGCGTGGTCCTGGATCTACGTAAGGCTATAAAATTACACAGAAATGTAGAATATTAAATTTCCTATCCGTTGGTATAAATATAAGTGCAACTACCTTGGCAGTTTGAGAAATAGACCTTGCTAAATGTTGTCCAAATTTTTGTTATCGTTAAAACAGTAAATTTCTCCGCTTTTTATCAAGCACCGATAAAAGCACTGTGCTACTGAATTTTTTAATGGGCCATCTTTACGGAAAGTGTGAGCTGAAGGAAATACAGCCTGATATCTGAACGACATAAGTGTATATGAATTGGGTTTATGTGCTTGTGCATAGCGCTATATCGCTCAACATTAAAAATGACTCACAATAAATGTCAAAAATGTATTTTCTTCTATGACGCCAAACGACGAAAAGAGAGGTCATACACGATATAATGATAAGGGGCATAACTCCGTTATGCGTAACACTAGGTCAATGTAACTCAGATCACTTGGAGAAAATGTGTTGTGGATAATGGACGCTATATTTTCGTTATTTTATATTCTGGTGAACCTCACTATTCCAATTCAAAGTTCCCCAATGAGAACGGATGCGCTTTGGTAGTTTCACAATTTATAAGAAAAGATGACAACGTATTACATTTGAAAGCACGTAATAGCGATTTGAATGGCCCTATCCGATATATAAGTTAGTTCTTAGATTCCCATATTCTCCTGTTTGTGTAGATGTAATTTGACTAATTTTGCATCGTTATTACCAGAGTACTAGCCATATCTTCAAATGTAACGAAATTGCTGAAAATAATACAACATTTTACTTGACGTCATCGCTTGTCTTATGCATTTTGCGGCGCCGGAAAACGACGACATTGGTATGCTGATTAGTATATATCTCACTTAATTTCCATTAATTGTATAAAAGGTCTAGACTTCTATGTCAGAATTTTACACTCTTTAGACAAAACATAAAATGACTGATTTTTCCATTTAAATAGTGTCCTGAATATATCAACAATTAGACAGTTTGACAGCATTATCTTATTGTGACCAACACGCGCACCTGTTTGGCATCAATTTAACGTAAATAAAAATAATATTTCACAACACCGAACATTTTGTTTGGGATAAGAATTTTGTTTGTTTATGATTATGAAGCTATTTCTCTTCATCATTATGCAATGACAGATGCAAAAGATAGCTTTTATATATGGAACTATATATTAGAATATGGATATAAGATTTGTCCGAATTAACACATGAGATGGTATATATATTTTTCAACAATTTTCCTATGAGTAGTTAGAGTTTGATATCCTGTCATCACAATATTATTTAATCGAATATGAATTGAATATATTATCGAAAACAATGATAGAGAATCATAAAAACGTTGCCAACAAACGCCGCACCTTGCCGATCTATATGCATCATTCTTTTTGTCTATAAAACGACACAAAATTATGCATCGAGCAAGACAATTCCTTTAAATATGTGTGCATGTACATTTCATACCATATATAAATAATTGTCATTAATATTATCAGTTTTATGATAAGGTTGAATCATATCACCGTTCATTAACCTGTTCATATGAAATTGCAATATTAGTCCAAATAAATTGAATATTGTACATCATAGGAACTAAAGTAATTGCAGTTATGGCTACGTTTGATCTTCTAACACTTGTGTAAAGGTTTTAAAATATGGTGTATTGCAATAAATATTTCACTTTCTTATGTAAATATGATTCAAACAATCAAAACTTTCAAAGAATAAAACACCGTGAAACCCTATATGCATGTATGATATGATATTGAACAAGGCTAAATGTAGATACTGAAGTCAGTTTCATGAAAAAGTATCCGAACTATGCTAAAATATACATCATAATACTGACAGTGTAATCGGAAGGATATGACGATTGTGTTTACTCTTGTTCAACCGACCTTCACCTCAAAGAAATTGCCTAATATGTACAACAATGTTGACGTGATGACATCACTACCGCTGACCGATTTCTTACAAAATGGCGGCTTTGCTGACAAGGGTACACAGGATTTTCGCGAGGACCCTTCCACTGATTCAGGGATCGTTTGTACATAAATATGAGATGTAAGTAATCAGAATGATTCTGACTATCTGTGTATTGTTATATGTTTTATCTTTTTCACTATCACGTAAGAGAAAAGGACAGAAATGCAGATAATTACCGTTGTCGTTCTGCATTGATTTGGCGCCAGTCATGGCGCCACGCTGCACGGAAACTTTGACAATTTCTTATGAATTATCAAATCATTGCATTGTATCTATTTATAATTTCCTATTTCTTGCTACACGATACTCTTTCCATGTATATTCTAAAGGTATTGAGCCAATCGCAAGCAATGAATAGACGGATGAATGTTGAAAAATTTACACAGTGTAAAATCGAATTTGTCTTTGTTTACATTTCACACAAACGCCAGTCTTTCAAGCACAGCGTTCGCTTTCACACCCAATATGTTTAGGTCTCATTTTATCTAGACAGTTATTATGACACAGACCAGTTTCAAATTGATTCTTAAATGTATGGGGAATTCAGTGATGCATTTTTGAAGCTGAATATGAAATATACATTGATGTAATAGGCGCCTCAATACCGGCCCGCTAAGCGTGATTTTGTAAACATTATCCAATATGGCGGAAAGCTCTCGGCACGGCATTGTAAGTGCATTTTCGAAAACATCCCAACCGATTCTAGATTCATCGGCAACGTTTCAGAATTATAATTAGCGATTTCATGTAAAACTGATATCAGTGATCATAAATATGTTATTTTTGAAATTCAATACTCACAGTAATTATCCGATTTTCACATTTCAAAACATACAGCAAATAACGCTGTGAATCGCGATTTCATACTGTGTAAAAAATGTCGCCATTTTCGATGAAGCCTATTTTGTAAGGTCATTTTCAGCACTTGAGCTTTGTTTAAAATAATAGTGGATGGTATCAAGAAACAGGAATTTCCGCCAGAATTGAAACTGTGAAGTGTATTTGTGTGCGTGGGATATTTTGATTTTTATTCGACTTGAAATTGAGGGTTGAAGGGGAAACTTGACTAGGCTGCATTCTGATCATAATCACAGCTGAAAATGGAAAGTGGTTCATTTAGTTAGTTAACTTTTTTTAGAGTGCCAACTTATTTCAGATGTATTCAAAACACTGTTTACATTGATTTCATACAGAAATTTTCGAATTTTTCCCAATGTGCTCAGAAACATAAGAATCCTAATAGACCCGCAGGGATAACACCATCTTTACTTAAACATAAATGTAAGTAAGGAAGCTGTTATTTATACAGCTGTTTAATTTTCTACAATGAAGATAAGAAATGGCAAATGTATACAATCACATGATATCAAACACACATGTTCTGATCAATCATAAAGTGGAAGAAGACAAAGAGGTTAACTACAGTCCATGTTATGAATGTTGAAGTGAGAACACAAGCATCTTCCCTGCACAGCAAACAACACTATATTAGTCATGTTAGAATTCCACACATGTGATATTTCTCAGTAGACTCAAAATTTAGCCCTTTCCTGAACATGGCCTCATGACCTCCAATCTTTCTTAAATAAAGCTAACAGTCTTTGATGGAATAGAACCTGCTTCAATAAACTCATGGCCCCTTTTTTAAGGATGAGATCCCATTTGGCTTCAATAAACTGATGTCCTCTATTTGAAGGATGAGATCCTATCTTACTTCAATAAACTGATGTCCTCTTTTTGAAGGATGAGATCCCAGCATGCTTCAATAAATTGATGGCCTCTTTTGAAGGATGAGATCCCAATTTGCTTCAATAAACTCATGGCCTATTTTTAATGATGATATCCCACCATGCTACCATAAACACATGGCCTCTTTCTGAAGTATGAGATCCCACAATGCCTCAATAAACTCATGGCCTATTTTTTTAAGGATGAGGTCCCACCATGCTTCAATAAACTGATGTCCTATTTTGAAGGATGAGGTCCCACCATGCTTCAATAAACTGATGTCCTATTTTTTGAAGGATGAGGTCCCACCATGCTTCAATAAACTGATGTCCTATTTTAAAGGACGAGGCCCCATCCTGCTTCAATAAACTCATGGCTCCTTTTTGAAGATGATATCCCAACATGCTTCAATAAACTCATGCCCTCTTTTAGAAGGATGAGATCCCACCAAGCTTCAATAAAATGACGGCCTCTTTTGAAGGATGAGGTCCCACCATGCTTCAATAAACTCATGACCCTTTTTTGCAAAAAGGATGACATGTCATCCAGCTTCAACAAACTCAAGTCCCTGCTTTTAAGGATGAGGTCTTATTTCCACTCAACTCATAACATTTGCTTCTACTGTCATCCAGCTTCAACCAACTCAAGTCCCTGCTTATAAAGGATGAGGTCTTATTTCCACTCAACTCATAACATTTGCTTCTAAACTAAGACCATTGTTCTAGTGATGCATCAATGTCACATACTTCAGAATAAACTCACGATTCCATGTCCACAATGCACAATCAATAATAAGTGATTTTTGAGTGATGTCACCACTGTACAACCCAAAGATGTCTCAGTATATTCTCCATGGACATGGTATCACATGCATGCAGACTGACACGTCAAGCCAAACATCTTTCACATGCTTCTCAACCTGCTTACCTATGCATGTGATCTACAGATTTTAGTAACTGATACATATAGCGTTTTACAAGGGGTTCCCCTAAACGCTGCTGCTTTCCTGAAACAGACAAGATATTAGTGTATGCATATACTAGCTGCAAAAGCTACACTATGCTATATATGAAGTGATTTAACGGCATGTTACTGTGAATTCCGTATCTGCTTAAGATTAATTAATAATAGTGATGACCTTTTCATGCCATCCTTGCAGTGGTCTTTGAAACATTAAATAGTCATGTGACCCACAAATAGTAATTGTCTCTACTTCAAGGAATAGAGGGGCGGTGGGGTAGCCTAGTGGTTAAAGCACTGGCTCGTCACGCCGAAGACCCGGGTTCGAATCCCCACATGGGAACAATGTGTGAAGCCCATTTCTGGTGTCCCCGTGATGTTGCTGGAATATTGCTAAAAGTGGCGTAAAACCAAACTCAATCAGTCAGTCAGTCTACTTCAAGGAGTAGCTAGACATCATGAACCTGTTTTTTGGTGACCTTCATGTAGGTTAGATGTTCATCCAGATAGACATACCATTTTGCCTTTGTTTTTGTTTGTTGTTGAAAGCTGTGTTCAACACTGATCAGACATACCCGTGGTTGATATTATGACCATGCAATCAACAGAAGTCTGACAGCCAATCTAACATTAGTAGTCTTACAACAAACACTAGGGTGAGGGGTACCTATTTTAACCTGAGTCCCAGACCTATCACTTAACCAACAAAGTTTTAATTTACTAAGATATGGAATTCACAGGAACATGGCTAGATGAAGAGAGGGTGATAACAGTTACAGATAAAGAAACGGTCAAAAGAGAGAAAAACAGAAGTGTACTATGTGACAGTATGAAGGGAAATATCAAAGTTGACCACAAGGGAGGGGGGGAGAGAGAGGGAGGGATCGGAGCTACCAGAGTAGTGAGGGATCATGAAGGCTAAGGTTGGGGACATGGTAGTATGTAACCCTGAGTCCTTCAAAGAGTATTTTCCAATTTACTTTCTAGTAACTTGTAACATCTTTACAACTTGTAAACACAACATTCAGCATACGTAGAGATAGTCCACCCATAATCTTCAACCAGTTGTTCCACAGACATGTTTCCTGAAACTAGTGTCAGTTTGAGTTCCTGTTAATCATTTCAATAGCTTATCAAACTTTATTAATGGTCATTCTGACGTAACCTATAATGTCTTCAGATTAGATTTTATCCTATGGCTTATGTAGAGTTCCTGTTAATCATTTCATTCACTGGTCAAATTTCATTAATGGTTGTTGTCATGAGACCTGGGATGGTTTAAGATCGCTGTGGTCATGGTAGGAAGCATCAAAATCTGATTTTAATGAGACTTGACTGAACCAGGATTCAAATCCACATCATCTGAACAAAAGTTTGACAAAGAGGAGGATGGACATGGAATACTAGTGACAGAACATGCTGTGAGATTCTGGACACACGTAACACAACGATAGATAGACAACATAATAAATTAGTTGTTACCAAACCAATTTTATTTCAAATCCAACATGATACCCAAGGAGTGGGACATAGGACTGGAATACTAATTTTCAGGTGAAATACAAATTTCCAGATGAAATACTCATTTGCAGGTGAGATACTAATTTGCAGGTGAAATACTAATTTGCAGGTGAGACACTAATTTGCAGGTGAGATACTAATTTCCAGGTGAGATACTAATTTCCAGGTGAAATACTAATTTCCAGGTGAAATACTAATCTCCTGTAATCAGGTGAGTGTAGAGGTGTGATGTACTATACAGCATGCAGAAGCGAAGAAAGGACACATATAACGAACTACGCTAGTGCTGTACTGACTACAGTGACCATGTGTACAAGTGGGCGTGGCAGGGACATCAGGTACCAACACTTCCCCTTACCTATGCATGTGGTCTATAGATTTGATTAGTTGGTACATGTAGTGCTTCACTTTTCTTTCTGGTAGGTGATGCCGTTTGCCTACAAATAAAGGCTACTTGTATAGAAATTGTTTGGGTCCCCCACAGCGTGTGGTTGTGGCGCTGTATCAAGGGAGGTCATATGGGATACTGATTCAGCCATAAGGTTTATACTTGTGATGTGAAGGAAAATTAGCATGACTTGTGTTGTGAGAGGCTGTGATAGGTGATATCTCAAGGAGAGAAAAGTAAGGTAATTTGACATGTCATATGAACATAAACAAACAATGAAATACATAGCAATACTGTCATTATTTTATAATTTCTTGGTTTACAGATGTGTCCAATTTCAATTTGGTGATTACAAGAACAGAAGACCTAAAAATATGAATATGCAAAATGATTTCACTTGATTGACAATTCCATGCTTTACTATAAAACATGTTTCTATATTTTTTTCAATCTTTTTTCCAACTTTGATAACTGATTTTGGGCCAAAAATCTGTAAACTCAGTGAAAATATAATGTTCAAATGTTATGGTTAAAGTCACATTATAATCACATAAATTATACACTAATTCACTTCTATCAGCAAACATTTTTCAAAATATACTATTGATCAGGAACATTATGACAAATATATGCAAGAGAAGAGCAATGTCACGCTCCAGGAAGGAAACTAGATCTAAACTTACAAAAGGTTTCAACACAGAGATAACTAAGGCTCTGTAGCTCACCTGGTAGCAACAGCACAATCACATTAATATTAGATTGCGGTGCTCACTTCCAATACACAAAGATCTGAGGACATCGAATTACAGGTCACTTTCGACCAATAAAATGTCTCACAGGAAGTTGTCATTAGCCAACCAAAAAGCAGCTTTCTTAAGCTTTACAGCAGTTTCAAGCTTGCACGTTCTATTCAAGTTTACACTTTGAAAAAAACAAACATTCAAGATTTGAAAACTAAAGAAATGAACTTTTACAATGTCCAACAGACGGACAAGATTGTATTGCAGTACTTTCCATGGGCTTTCCCAGTAAACTGAGGGAAAGACTATGATTCTGACTGCACATGACTGCCAGAATATTCCATGTTAACCATTTTGATGTTGAATGTTTTGAAAACATATTCTGACTACCACTTTCCTGATTAAGTAAGTGATGAGCTGATTGGCAGAATGAAAGGTCCTTCTCATAATGGAATATCCTCAAAAATTATTTTAGTGGTAGCACTAACTGAGGTCTGTGACTGGCTGCAGCATAGATATATGACTTTAAATCAAGATACAAAAAGGACATACAAGAAATCCTAAATCAAAACATGCAAAAAACATTTCATGTGTTGTTAGACAACAGATAAAGTAACAACAGAGTAGATGGGACAAAATTACATTCCAAACACAGAGCTACAGATAACCGTTTTGGTCATTGAGTTATGTACTCTCTTGTGTTCATTTCATTTGAGTATCCTAATTGTTCTAAATTGTATCCACCTCACTCATACTGGATTGGGTACTTTGCCATTAATTGTAAACATGTAATAAAGTTTAAATGTTGCTTTACATGTTTGTTATTTATTTATATTTGATCTGTAAAATGAGAAACGATAGGAAAGACTGAAAGTTGCCAAGTTCATGTGCTGAAATAGAACCTCTCAATATACATCAGTTATTTTATCTATCCACCATTACACAAGCTAAGATTTGACATTTTTGTGTGTACGCATGTAAGATCAAATTTATTGAGTATTTACAAAAAATGAAGTGTACTTATGCGCAATAGACTTAATAGGAATTGACTTTTCACATATATTTAGCGTAATTTACGCAGATATGCAGCTTATCTGTACCTCTGCAAACATGGTTGCCATGGCATCCATGCTACATATCGACAAGGAATTTTAATTATAACATTGCTGGAATCAGACACAACACTACTTCATCAGCATTGATTGTGAAAATATAACATGACTTTAGGCTCAAGGCCTACAGGAACAGGTCAAATGTCCAAGGTTATCGAAGCATGAATTTAAAATACACAACAGATTCAATTGATATTGAATTACACACATGAATAATGTCTTATTAATGGGCAAAACATAATCTATTTTTCATCCAGATGCCATACACGGTTTCAACATTGATAAATCAATCAGTTCCACAGATGTAGAAAATATAGTGAAATGTAAAGATTTATGGGCAATCTATGAACATCAAAATAACAAATTTTTACATATATATATATATTGCAAACTGTTACCTAGAGTAAACATATTCACTTTCATTTTAATTCATACAAGCATATATAGCTAAGTAGTGTATCAAAATCCAATATGCTGCCTTTGTGGCCATGTTGAAACTTGAAAATACTATTTAGACAATAAAATGTTATACACAGAACATTAGCTCAACAAAAAAAACAAAAAAAACATTTGTATGGTTTAAAGTCATACTGTACCTGTATCATAGTGCCAATGCCAAAATGCATGCCAAACACATGAAAAATTAACACTGTGAAACCAAAAACAGGTATTATCAATCTCAGTGAGAAGGAATGATGGAAAGCATTATAAATTCCAACTGCTTGTATTTAGCTCTGACATTCACTAAATATGAAGGAGCAGTGAACTGTTCTTGTTAAGATCTGTCATGTCCAAAATGCAAACCTATATATATTCCCTGTGGTTGACTTAATAAAAAAACATTTCTGTCCTGAAATGTCAGACAAACCAAACAGCTATATTCATTTATTCATGTTTACAATTATGTTGGAGCCAAATTCTAAAGTAGAGTCAAAATTCAAAAACTTGTATCAAAATATCCAGCAACCACTACTTACTACACTTACAATATGCAATCATCAATGTAAAAAGCAAATTAATTACCATACTATGACATATAAAAACTGGCATATACTGCCATGATTAAAATTGCAAAGGATTTCCTCAAGCTGATTTTTAATGCACCCATCGCTTGTGGTATCTCATAGGATGTTCAAAATAGGAAACATACCATTACATAAGCTCATTCGAACATTTGTTCAATGAGTAAAGCATGGAAAATCAAAATATCAAATTGTTAGATCAAACCAAATTATCCATCTTTTATCACCAGTAGACCAATTGTATCCAAACAGTACCTACCTTTTATGAGTTCATACATGTTCATGTCCATAAGCTCCACAACAAGGACTAATGTTCCCGACTTTTTGTCACTGAAAGAGAACACACACAGCCATGACTATTAACACATACACCAAATTTTGTTTGTTGTATAATTCATAGACCCTGAAAACTGATGTGTCTTTTCTTGATTATCAGTCTGATCTGAACGTGCATTTTGAATTATGCTCTGTAATGTTGAGAAATATTTCTTGCTTGTCTCACTACTATTCCAGCTATAGGATGGCCAGACAATCCAGTGATTGACATGATGATCAAGAGTATTATCCAGCCTCATGTAAGAATTCGAGTTTTGATTGGTTCACGTGACACTGATAAAATACCATGTACACCCGTCACGATCCGCGAGCAGGGAGTACAAAAGTCATATTATCCCGCCACGCCTCGGTGACCATGCGAAGTGAGAAAAGCGTGCATCGCCAAGTCTTTAGTAAGGTGCGCTGCATTGAGCTGTTGTCAACATGGCATCTCACATAGATAAAAACAAGTCGATTCGATGCGTATTGTTTTCTTTTGATTTAGTAAAAACATTCGGCTAGATAAATGCGTTATCACATCGTGTCGAGGGAAATACGGGGTTTTATCAGTTTGTAGTACAAGGGACTGATAAAACTCCGGCTCGGGGAATACAACCTTACGAGGGACTGATAAAACCCAGTATTTCCCTCGACACGATGTGATAACTTATAATATGACACTAACTGAGGCTGACAGAACAAAACAAAATTTCATCCACACAAATATCTTAGCATACATGGCAAATGTCAGACAATTGGGATTCTTTTTCCTCATCTGTTGACCAAAGCATAGCCAGTGTCCAGGGCCAGTGTTCAGTGAGATCGGTAGCCTGTGGCTACTTTATCTATTGCTGCCTCAAGCAAATAAAACCAAGGTAGCCCAGGAAAGTTTTAATAAAAAGGGTTTTCCTACATGATCATTACTTGCTTGGTGTAGGCATCGACACTGAAATGTCAGATTGTCACATTGTAATAAAGAAGTTGAGCATCCACAGAAATATCTCATTCATTCTCCAGACAAACTTCTAATGATATTTGAAGAAATCAGATCACTGCAATTTGTTAACTGGAAAGAACTATAAAGCACATCTTCCCATTTTCAAAAAGTATTTGTTGAATTATTAATAATTCTAAAGACTATGACTGGATACATACAAGATAATCTCCAGGAGATCTAGGACATTCGTGTGTGGGTTGAGACGTCGCATGGCTTGTATTTCACGCAGGTGCTGCACCTGCTCCCAGCTGTAAAACATCAAATAATCAAATTAATGATCAACAAGAAGACAAAGTCATCAATATCCCCCGCAATGGCAAAATACTCTTCATGATTATGTCTAAGAGTTATGATTATGTCATATATTTAGGTGTGTATATAGAAAAGTGGAAGGAGAGTATTTAAACGTTTTTAAAGTTCTGCTCCAGATAATAGCACTATCACCAATTTCAGTCAAAGTAAAACTTGTTGCCATGGAAACGCCAAAAATATTTTATTCAGAATTCCAAAACTACCAAAAGGCACCAGTACACCACCAGATCTATCTATGTGCCAAGTTTGGTGAAGAAATAGTGAACGGTTTTAGAGTTCTGCTCCGGTAAAGACAAATGTGCACGGACGGAAATGTGCATTTTAACCCCCCGCAAAATGCGTTGCGGGGGATAACAAATTAGTCACATCTATTGTGCAAATAATATCATCATAAAAACTGCATGTTTTGTGAAATGTTGCAGGTGACTGTCAATGACGTCAAGAATAACCTTTGAGCTGAGGAAATTGAAAGACAAAACAGTAATTTCAACTCGACTGAGCAATATTGAATTTCCTATTACAGTTTTCATGAAACTTATCTTGTCATGACTTCCTTTAATATTTAACAAAGCAATGATCCTTCCATGTAGTTACATCCAACCGTGTCCAATGGTTGAGATTGGACTTCAGCAATCCTTACTTGCCATTAAGGATAACTAACAGGACTCAGTTCTCAAGGTCACTGATTAGCATTGATGGACGCGGAGAGTCCTCGGATGGGTGACCGTGTTCGGCAGCTTGACTCCTAAGAGTTTCTAGGACTTCAGTCCTGCCCCACAACGAAGCGCATGTGATACATGTGGTCTCACCTGAGGCAAGTGAGTTTGTTCAAAGTTGCCTCTGTCCACCCAGCAGTGATATTGGGTACCTGGTATGATAGTATTATGATGGTAGTCTGAGTTTGAACCTTGACAGGCGACCTGTTGTATTCTCCACAGGGAGTGTTCTGTACTCGTTGACCAGGGGTAATATGTCAGCGCTTTGAGCATGCAATGTACATTGATAAATGCACAATATAAATGGACTATTATTAATATTATTATTATCAGGGGCAGTGGGGTAGCCCAGTGGTTAAAGGGTTGGCTTGTCACGCTGAAGACCACGGTTCGATTCCACACATGGGTACAAAGTGTGAAGCCCATTTCTGGTGTCCTCCGCCATGATATTGCTGGAATATTGCTAAAAGCGGCGTAAAACCATACTCACTACATGTTATCACATCCCAACTGCATAAATTGATGCTTGTGATGTGAAGCGCTCATCTGGTCTATGTAGCATTTAGGGATGACATAATGGCGTGGTGAAAAAAATAGCATTGTCTTTTAAGCCGTAAAACAATACATGGCAATGTCATGCTTTGGCACTGTCGTAACGTCAAGGAGGTTACATTTCCCTTTTCTACAAAGAAGATAAAAATGTAAATGCAACGCAATTAGCAAATACTGATTCTTTAATACTGAAAAGTAACTGTTAAAGTTGAACAAGTTCTTTGATTCTTCAGTGGTAATGTAAATTAAATCCATAACAGGTGAAGCCTAGACATATTTAAATCAATATGAAAAGCTCCATTTCAGTCATGACAACACCATTAGCTTCACTGTGAACTGATGACAGGTTACAAGTGTTTGCAAGTCTTGAACAAAAGCATAACTTTGTTTGGTCAATTAAACATAAGAAACATACTAAATCTCCATGTATACGTTATTTCCAAAATCACTAATTCAATCAACATCAATGCACCTACAGAACATTCATTGATATCCTGCATGTCATAATGCCTACGGTGTCCATCTGAAACAAACCAGCATCAAATAACCACTTCTTGTAGATTACATTCATAGGCACCATCAGACATTTCTATACTTTCTGGGGCGGCGGGGTAGCCTAGTGGTTAATGTGTTCACGGGTCACGTTGAAGACCCGGTTTTGATTCCCCATATGGGTACAATGTGTGAAGCCCATTTCTGGTGTCCCCCGCCGAGATATTGCTGGAATATTGCTAAAAGCGGCATCAAACTAAACTCACTCACTCACTCATTCTATACTTTCTTTTTCCAGGCAGTTTAAATCCATCAACCATCAAGTTTATTAATAAAACCACAAAACCCTTTCTATCGTGTTTTATTTTCTAAAACATGTGATGCACTAATCTAACACTGTATGATCTTAAATATGGTGACATTAATGAATCATCAACTTGACAGTAAACAAAAACATTGACAAAACACAACCTTGGCAACCATGCTGAGGTTCTGTTGAAGTGCCATTATCATTGACAAACACATACTGGCAGGATCAACACAGGATGATAGAATGAATAGTCATTACTGTCCAGCAATTAGCTTATCAAAATATTTCCATGTGAATAAAATATAAAATTTAACATTATTGTACAAACATTTATGAAGTGTAACGGTGAACAATGAAGTATTTGCTCAAGTGAAGCCTATCAGCCATGCTTGCATTTAGCAATGCTAAACAAATATTGTTCACAGAAACCTTTGTCGGAGTCAATGGCTACACAAACAGTACAACAATAGCTGGCACACAAGTCGTAGAGCGGCACAATACACGAGCCAGGTAGGATTCACACGCACAAACACCTCCATGTAAGTCAATTACCATGATAAAACATGTCTGGAGAAATGCTTCAGTATTACCAGAGACCCCTATTGTGTCCTTGCACTTTTCCACTCAGTGTCCGTTACCTAGTGTTCTGTAGCTTACCTTCCCAAAGGGAATAACATGCTAGTAGTGTGTAAATATCATATTACATTCCATGATATTGAATGGCATAATCATATCGACTTTATTTCAAACTTTGAGAGCAATACATCTTTAAGCAGCTATTATCCATATTGCAGTATAATGGTTTTCCATGTTCTTCTTGTATGGATCAGATCATTACAGGTTCTTAAATTTCCAAATATTTTGCTATTTAAATATTAACAACATAATGAAATAGTAACAAATTGTTCGTATGCCCCAAAACCTACATTCTGATAGTATTTATAGTGAAATGTCTATATATTACAATTACAGAAACCTTATACCCAGACCCATGAAGATCTGGGTTAGAATTGTTCTTCAGTAACCCATGCTTGTCGTAAGAGGCAACTAACAGGATCGGGTGGTCAAGCTCGCTGACACATGTCATCGTATCCCAATTGTGTAGATCAATGCTTATGCTGTTGATCACTTGATTGTCTGGTCCAGACTTGATTATTTATTGACTGACGCCATATTGCTGGAATATTGCTATGTGCGGCATAAAACTAAAGTCAGTCACTTACCTTATACCCATATGATTGTTTATAATTGAATAATATGTCACTGATCACCCATTTAATAACAAAAAAATGATTTCCTGATTCGCACAGTTTCAGATCTGTAACATTGACGATTGAGGATCGGATCATTCGTACTGAGTCATCATGGCATATAAGAAAAAAAGGCATTTTCCATAAACTTCTTAGGTCAGAAATCAACATGAAACTAAGAATAAAAGAAACAGAAAACATTTCCACCATCACAGGCAAGCTCTATTTGTCTTTTGTATGTATGGGGCGGTGGGGTAGCCTTATGGGTTAAAGCGTTCGTTCGTTACACCGAAGATCCTGGTTTGATTTCCCACATGGGTACAATGGGTGATGTCCACTTCCGGTGTCCCCCGCAGTGATATTGCTGGAATATTGCTAAATATTGATCCATTCAGTTTCCTCTTGCAAGCACAGGAACTGAAATCCGGTTCGAACTAAACTCACTCACTTACTCACTGTTGTATATCATAAGCAAGTGTTCATAAATCAGTATCAAACAGTAATTATATCACGTGTTCAGAAAAAGGTGAGCATATCCTACCCCACCTGTGACACCATTCACAAACATCAATATCATGCGCAATAATTTGTCCAGGAAACCAAGACACCGACTCAACAGCACTGCATTTAATCCATGTGTAAATACTAACCACAAATACACAGGAGGCCTGGTTGAAGTACACACTTCAACCTGAGAGCCATGTTTTTATTTTGTGGCAATAATTTCAGCCCACAGCGACACCAGCAGGTCCACAGAAAACGACAGTAGCAACTGATTATCTGGGCAGTGAAGTGTGGAGGCTGACATTCAGGCTAACACAACTTAATGGCAACCCTTGCATGATCACTTTCCATTAACCCTTAATCTTGGGGAAAAACATGCCAGCGCCATAATGCTAATGTATTAGCACTAACAGGCCATGGATGACTGTGTTTGTCAATAAAACTGACACATACACGACTGGAGTGGGTGAGTGAGTATGGTTTTACGCCGCTTTTAGCAATATTCCAGCAATATCACAGTGGGGGACACAAGTAATGGGCTTCACACACTGTACCCATGTGGAGAATCTATGGATGACTGTGTTTGTCTATGACACTGACACATACACAACTGGAGTGGAGTGAGTGAGTGAGCATAGTTTTACTCCGCATTTAGCAATATTGCACCCATATTGGGAATCTATGTTCAACTGTTTGCCTATGATATTGACACATATACACCTGAAGTAAGAGGGTGAGCATAATTTTACTCCGTTTTTATCAGTAATACAGCAATATCAGGGCGAGGGACACCAGAAATGAGCCTTATACATTGTACCCATGTAGGGAATCAAACCCAGATCTTAGGTGTGAAAAGAGTGACATACAAACAAACAAAAACTTAAAGGGCAAGTGTACACGAAATTAACCTTTTTGTCTTGCACTTTTTCTTCATAAAAAGTGTTTATCAAGTCGTTTTATATCCAAACCCGTACATATATCATAAGTAACTAATTTATTATTTGCGTTATATCAATTCATATTTTCAACATTAACCAAGAGTTCTATGTCCACAATAAACACACCATGGCTTATGTCCCTTGGAAATGACGTCATTGGTGCCCAAATGATAA